GCATGAAGCATTGCCTGAGATTGGGGATATGTTAGATGAGGACAAGACCTCGAGGATTTGCGACCCACCTAGCATACACGGCGACTTGGGTGACAACCTTCTCTGAAAAATTGTGTTCGGTCTTGATTTCGCAGGGTGACGCACAATAGGTGTATTCGGCGGTAGGCTCTGGCTTCAAATCTGTGCCATGGAAGTTTATCCCCGTTCCGAAGATAAAGAGATCGGGCGACGTCTTGAGGTCACTGTTCCCCATACTTTCGGAACCCTCTATGTGAGACATCTTCGTCTTGTGACTGTCAATGGCCTTGCGATTGGTAATGCCGAACGCTTGAATGACAGTTTGGAAAATATTGAGGAAAGGAGGGTATAGATCAGGTTCGTTGGTGGTCGGATTAATGTCCTTCCATTGCTTGGTATCGCTGTGATATAGACCGGAGGTCTCAAGGAATTTGGCGACGGAATCGTCTGTGACATCCTGAGTTGAATCGCGGACTCTAGGCTTGACGACTCTCTCGAAGAAATCTTCGTCCGCCCACTGCGTTGTCCCCTTGATTTCGGCTTCGAGAATCGGGGCCATTTGCTTGACTGAAGAGAAACCTTCCTCCGGGCCGTGTGAATCGTTGAACCTTACAGGTGTGTCGTCACCGACTGAGGAACTTTGAGTGCGTGGGCGTTTTGGGGTACAAGGAGGCTTTTTCGGGTTGATATGGGCCTCAATGAAAGCAACAGGGATTTGGTCGAGGAGAGAGGGTTGAGAGTACCGAGATCGAACCGACTGGGAGTGGCTGTTTAGAACCGCTGTCCTGTGTAGTGGTGTCAAGGTTCGGTTCAGTCCGGTTTAAGGCACATTTTTCCCGAACCGGAGACCGAACTTTCGGTCCGGTTCTCCTTCACAGGTTGAACCTGGAACCGAACGGGGAGTTCAGGTTCAATTTAGGTTCGAACACGTTCGAACTCTTTTCGGGGTTGAGAAATTTTTTGGCAGGAAATTCACTTCAAAGCACTTTTAATTTTACTTATAAGTACTACTGGGTGCTTAAATAAATTGTAGAACACTGTGGTGTGTAGCTTTGAGTGAGATTCTGTAGGCGGTCTTTCGTTGATGTGGACGATAGGGACTGTCGGGGCTTGCCGAGAGCGGCTACACAGCCTGATACAGAAGCTACGTACCCTAAAATATACACGAAGGTGGGCAATCATTTTTTCCCGACTATTCCCGTGCAAAATCCACACGAAATTGCTCGAAATCCGGCTCGAAAACACCCTTTTATTGCTGGTTTTCGCTTGCAGGTTCGAACGGGTTCGAACCCGTTCGGCGGGGCCTGAACCGAGAACTGGACTTTCGGTCCAGTTCAGCACTTTCGTCGAACCCTGGACCGAACATCGAGTTCGGTTCTAGCTGGTTCAGGTTTGAACCAAAGTTCAGGACCGAACTTTGACACCACTAGTCCTGTGATATTTGGATGGCACGTTAGTGGTGGTAAGAGACAAGAAACGAGTACTCACGCGTCGTGGATTTATATCGAACTGTGGCCCCGACGGAGTCACAGAGGCTGGACGGATGTGGTTGATGTTCAGGAATCAGAACGTTCAAGCACGGTGGCCTACTTCACCATTGTTGTTGGCGACATGTGACCGCGTGTGGCCTTCTAGCTTGGCACCTAGAATTTCCTTATCCGGACGTCCTTCAGTGGTCGCCTACACAGTGAATCGGCCAAAACCTGTAAAATTTGGAAGAAAATGGCTCGTAGAGCGCATGGGCATTCATATTGAGCACCGGTGCTTTGGCCCAATCCCCGGGACCACAGATTTTGAATCGGGATTTTGCGACCGCGCAGCTGACTCTGACTTCACCAACGCGAGAATAGACGAATTTCAAGGACACGTTGTATTACTAAATTTACCCCGATAATGCAAATACCGATTGTAGGAGGACGTGGTTAAGTTCAGTGTGCAAGGGAGGTTGGCTGATGCAGCTGTTCTATGTCGCAACAGAAGTCGGAAACTTGAAGGTATTAACCCTCTACCACTTAGCAAGCACGAACCTAGAGTGCGGAGTAATTCAAATACAAAACCATATGTGCTACTTAAGGACACGACCAAATTGCAAACATCGCAGCCGTTTTGAATGCCGTCTCAATACAATGTAAAAAAAAGTGCAAGACCCAAAAAGAAACGCCAGCCCCAGATGATCATACTCACAAATGCTTGTCTGGATTCTCCAACAACCTGTTCCCGATCATGGGCATGCACCATGAGTAAAATCCAAGATGGCTTCTTCTCGCTAGCAATCGAACACCCGAAAGACTGACTCCTCTCCTAGGAGGACCTCGGATAATCCCTATAGGGGTTAGATACCGGTCCACTGGCAAAGATACCTTTTCGTGGCTCAAGGTTGGATACATCTTGGCAGGAGTCCACTGGTTGACCCTCACAAACAGTGGTGGAGGTCAGAGTCAGTCGTCCACTGGCCGGAGCCTAACCTGCCAAAGGTTGGATACGTATCCCACTGGCCACCATGATGGCCGACTTCGGCACCGGTGGCCCACTCGTCAATTAGCCTTTTATGAACATGCTTGGTATAAGCGAGGGGCCACCACATTGAACAAGGCGGCCTTCGACAATGGCCACTTCATGTACCTAGAGATCCTGTGGCATAGGAACATTTTGAATACATCTTTCTCTCTTCCCCCCACTTGTATTTTCCTCAACCACTGGCAGACTCAATGCATGACTTGGGCAGCGACCCAGGCCAGCATCCGACAGACCTATCAGACTGGATTGAAAAAGGGAAAAAGTATGAAAATATTCCTATACAAGTTTCTGATGAGTTACTCCAAAGGCTTGAACTTACACCCCCCACACGTGCTGTACTTCCCAAAGATACTCTCACTGTGAAGGAGCTTTCTAGAACAGGCTCGCTCTGTTTTGAGTCGTATCCTTATGAGCGGTCAAAAATCTGTTGAAGCGTAAGAGGAAATGGTTATTGGATTGATCATTGGAACTGCCTGAATTGGGAGCCTGGGAGCCTCGAATATACTTAAAACACATTTTTCGGATTTTTTTATGATTTTTAATGATTTTTAGACAATTTATTGAGGTTGGATACTCCCTCCACTGGTGAGGAGAAATTTTTGAAAGTCAGATACGATATCCACCGAAAATCGGCCCCAAAAAAATTTTTTTTGTCCACCGGAAAACTGGCCAAAACGAGGAATTTCGTATCCAACCTCTATCGGGACTATCCGAGGTCCTCTCCTAGGGTCCGTATAAGTTCTTCCTCCCGTTCGCGCAGCGCTTTATCCCCCTCCGCACAGCGTAGGCGGTCGATCTGTGATAGTCCGGCCATTTGCTGGTTGCGACGGAAGGCATCCTTGCTGATCCTGAGAGCGGTTATCGTGCTTCCGATCGCCTTCACAGCCTCTGCATCTACATTTTTCGCCTTGCACACGCCTTGAAATTTGCGATACGAAAAGTCAGCAGTCCATAGCAATGGCCACGCCTCAGCACCGATGGACTCCTTTAGGGAATGGATTTTCGCGCAAACAGACTTGTGAGGCAAATTAGGACTTTTCCAGGCCTCCTTTTGGCACTGCAGAGTTGTCAACAGTGAGTAGATGAGATGGGAAAGAAAGAAGAAACGCTTGCCTGTTCACCACAGAACCTGATAAGGTTACACTTGCTGCAGAGCCGCGAATAAATGGCCTGAGATGCTGAGGGACAAGCTATATTCCAGCATCCCATTCTCCGTACCATCACCATCGTGGTGAAAGCATGCCCGAGAAGATCACGGTGCTGAAGCTTTGTCATGAACTCACGTTCGAATGTGACTGTCATAAGTCCTGTTGTGCAGTCGATTTCGGCATTGGCGTACGCGGTGATGTATCGCGATAAGGAGCAAATTCCGCCGCATTCCTGGGTGGATAGGATTGTCGTAAGGCGAGCAAAAATTGGAGTGAACCAGCGGCCACGTAAGCAGATCATCGCTTTGAACAGGCGGGTGTCGTAATGCATGAAAGTGTCAAAGAAGTTGACTATGACCACAACTGGCAACTGGAAAAAAAATGTAAAGGCACGGGGTGAGGTCCGCGAGGGATCACTGTCATCATAGAACTTGACAGCCTCTTGGAGATGTAGACTAGGCCGTACCAGAGCAAATGGGAAGTCCCATGCCTGAAACGCCTCTCGGGCAAATGGTTTGTAAAACAAGGCTAAGCGGCTAGCCAGTTTGAAGATGAAGCATCCATAAGATGTATCCACAACCCACAGCTCTAGCCCAAGGACAGCGTCTTTGGGTCCCTCCGGAAGAAGGTCCTCAGGCCCTTGTGGCCAGAGTTTCTCCCCGTTGCCCGCATTTCCAGTGTAAAATTTGTGCTGCGTTCGTTCCTCGAGGGCCACAACAAGGCACATGCAGATGGTAGACATTGCATCGAAGAGAAGGGTCATGGAGCAAACCTCGATTCGTCCGTCGGGTCGGTGCCGATTAGGCTTATGAGCCCTCCTCATCCCGGGCTGGTTGAAGTCGCAACGGCAAGTTGACAGGTGATTCATCATCGCACAGTGATCCTGGGGCGACTGCTTATGGGTGAGGAACTTGACTCCAGCTCTGAGGAGCTCGGGATGAGATTTCGCAAGCTTGGCCTCTGCAGCAACAGAAGTGCATGCTTCGAATGCCAGATTGATGCAATCAGCTGCTACAGCCATTCTCACTGGGCAAGCATCGGCTTTCATGGGGTCTTGCATTGTTGACACCAAAAGTTCAATTGCTGAGCTGAGGGATAGGTTTGCTTTAGTTGCCATGCTGGTATTTCCTGCGATCTGAAAATGCTGATGAACCTCAGCCCTCTAGAGTCTAGACGGACGAGAGGACTTACGAAGTAGAAGGTGATAGTCAACAACTAAGGAAGCTTGCCAGCTAGAGGGGTGTTCTGAATAGAGTAGGTGTGAAGTACGCAACGTGGGCTGTCATGTGGGATTAGTATGAGAGTCTGCCATCCAAGTACAGCAGTTGCACAGCAGTTTAATTGCAGTGCTTGAGACCTCGGTCTAAATATTATTCATGGCGATGAAGTTGTGGCCAAGGTGGACTCGGAGATTATGTCGATTGTCAGGCCAGAAGATCCAAGACCAAGAATGCAGTTTATGATCAGGCGGTATGCAGATGCAGACTAAGTATAGCCACAAGCACACCTCTGACAGGAAAATCCAACATTGAAACAGTGCTCGGCGTCTGCCTTTGGGAGGCTACGCTAAACGACCTGTTCGAAGACCCGTCGTCCTAGCAGGCTGGGTCCTTGTCCTCGCAATTGTGCGACCACCGCCCCAGTAGATTGTGTCCTCGCCCTCGTCATCTGCATGGCTGCTCCAGGCTAAGCCCTCCTCCATGTCGTTTCTCTCGAGGTCGTTGACTGGGCCTGTGTTGCTTTGGCAGGCGCCTCCGTTGAGAAAGCTGATCAATTCCGCGACCTCGTCGATTGCCTTCTCATCACAGCCTGAACGTTCGGCGCCGCTTGCGTGGACCCAATCCGCAACCTTGTCGACTGCCTCATCACAGGTGCTGCTGGGTTGGCCACAGCGGCAACCACATTTGTTGAAGCTGCTGGAGCCTTTCCAGAAAGGGGTTGAGCTAATGGTCTCGTCTGAGTCCTCAGTGATCTCGTCTGAGTCCTCTTTGGCGCAGGCGGGCCATCCTGCTCATCGACGTCCATCTCGTTTTCGTCGGCGTCCCGTTGGTCTCTGGTACGCTTCATGCTACTTGATGGCTCGATTTGTTGGCTAGAACCCGAATTAGAGGGTGGAGGTGCTGGGACGGAAGGTTGTTCGGATGAATTGGACAATGGGCCCTGCTGCGAAGACGGGCATGGGTCCGGCTGCTGTTCCCCCTGCTGTTCCTTGTCCAGTGCTACGATAGCCTTGTCGACGAGTTTGAGGAACTTGGCATAGTTTTTGTCAGAGTGTGGCTTCATGTCCTCGAGCTTGTTCGGCATCGTGGCTCTATTGAGGAGCTTCCACCTGTGCATTTCTCGCGTGAAATCCCGGAGCCCATCGAACAGGTCCTGAAAGGCCTGCCCGAACGTGTTGACAAGTTCATTGTGTTCGGTTACAATGGGATTGAGGAAGGCCGACTTCACCGAAATCAGCGCTGAAGGAGTTCCAGTCTCCCAGTCCCCGAGAGGTGGGGACTTGAGTCGTTCGCCAGTAGGAGTATAGCGCATGCATACCCAGCAAAAGACATAGAAGAACGATTGAAGATCGTCGAGATAGTCATGCGCTAACAAGATCTTCCCGTCCGCCTTGTCCATCTCGCTGCTGATTACAAGGATTGCTTGGAAGGCCCTCGTCCCCTATGATAAAGAAATATATATTAAACAAGCATCCACGACACTGGTAGAGAAAACTTACAGTTCGGAAGTCTACTGCAGCCATTGTAGCCGCCTGCTGCCAGCGGACTGCCATATCCATATCGATGAGCAGCCCTCTCCAACCTTCTTCAGCACCTTCCTCGCCGATGAGAATATTGTTGACACTGATGTCGCGATGAATGATATTCCTGTCCCACAGTCTCTGATGACCTGCAAGACCCGTCAACGATGATATGCTAGATAAGTAGCCCAACAAACTTACCTGCAACAGCATCGCGGAAGGCATGTAAAAGTTGCCTGCGATTCGTGAATTTGTCGATCTGTTGACCATACGCGCGGAGGATAATGCGACGAAACAGGCGGTCGGCCATCCCAGTAGGCAATTCCTTCCCCTCCATCCCTCTCAAGGCCGCGATCGTCAGCTTCTCCGGCTCAAAAGCGACCATCTGACCAATGCCTTGGACGCCTTCAACCTCCTGCAGCAAGTCGGACTCCAGACCGCGACCTTCGGCCTGCCAGGAATCCTTGATGACGCGAAGCTTGCCGTCGGGATCTCTACCCAACCAGCACAGTGTTCCACGGCCGCGGATCGTTCGCCGCTGAAAGAGCGGTTTCGACTTCAAAATCTCGTATTCGACTCGCTGGCCCTTTTCATTGAGGGTTTCAATGTACCGCTTGTCTCCCCTCCAATAGATAGTGGTGTCGAACCCAAGAGTGGTGCAATTGGGAGACGAGATGAGGAGGATGAGGTAGATAAAATCTTTGGGGTTCTCATGAATGTTGATGTACTTGCTGCGCAACAGCCCATTCCGGTCGAACTGCAGGAGGAATGCGCGCTTCTCCGTCATGACCAGAGAGTAGACGTAATGGCGGTTCCCCTGCTGCATGAAACATTGGCTGAATAGACGAAGTCAGAAGAGGAATAAAAACCAACGCTTCTCAACGTACCGAGCATATACGCCAACTTGCGTCAGAACCTTTTCTTCCAAGTTACGCTCCGTCTTAACCTCACAAGGCGACGCGCAGTACTTGTAGTCGGCCTTTTCCTCGAACTTAAGTTTGAGATTCTCCGAGTAGAAGTTGGGTCCCGACCCGTAGATGAAGAGGTCGGGAGACGTCTTGAGTGAGGTGTCGCCTGTGTCGCCCTCGATATGCTGGATCTTGACGTTGAACGTGTTGATGGCCTCGCGCTCCTCAAGCTTGAAGGCTGCGATAACTTTCTGAAATATTTTGTAGAAAGGTTCATAAAGCTTTTTTTCGACAGTTGTCTTTTTGATGTTGTTCCACTTCTTCGTGTTGTTGTTGTACAGGCCAGAGTTTTGGACGAACTCCGTGATCGAAGCGTCGGTGACTCCAGTACGGCGAACCCTCTGCTCGACCACACGATTGAAGAAGCCGTCGTCGACGTCCTGGGTGCTGCCCTTGATTTCGGCTTCCAGCATGGGTGTCATGGTGGCGATGTTCGAAAAGATGGTCTGGAGGGTGTTTCGCTCAAACTCGAAGCTTTAGACTCGGGCTTTGGGGTTGCAGGGGGCGTTTGTGGTCGGTCGAATGAGCTTGTGTCAACTTGGACTTGAGGCTGCTTTTGGCGGCCCTCTCGAGATAGCGCCTGCTCATGTTAAAGTACGTAGTGGGTGACCAGTTGATAAACTCGAAGTGTGGCCACTGGCCCAATCATTGGCCATGGACACATGACCGCGTGTGGCTCTCTGGCTTGGCGGACAGAATTGCTTTTTCTGGGTGTCCCTCCTCGGAGGGCGAATTGGCCAAATCCTGGAAGTTTTCGAAAAAAAAAATGGCATATCTGAATTGATTTTTTAGAGGCATTGTAGTTCGTGAGTAGTTACTGTACCAGACTTTGAATCAGGAACTCCCGACCCACTACCAACTAGCTAGTTATAAAACGAGTTGGGTAGCCGGCCCCTCAGGCTCTAGGTATAGTAAAGCTCGAAGTATGTAGCAATTGGGTGTTGAGAGTGACGTGGTAGCGGAGACATAAATGTAGTGGGTTTGGCGATAGGAAATCTAAGGAAAAGGTTGTCGACATAATAACGCAAGCGCTATATCAACCAGCTCAGGAATGTGATTTCTTGTTCTCCGTCCATAGGTGACTCGAAACTTGCGACTATCTGGTGAAAGGATGCAGTTTGAGGCCTTGGGGACGCATGTTATATGCAGTCTGCTACATTTGTCTCGGGGTTTCTTCTTCGATCCTTGTTGTTGACTAAATCTCAAGCGCTTGTCATCGAGGTATCAAACGGCTTTGAGAGATAGAATTTAAAAATCAACATGCAAGGAGAGAAAGAAAATCGAATGACACACAATGCACAGATAATGATGAAAAGAAGAGGAAACAAGAATAATGATAGTAGCTCCACAAAAAAAAAAAAGATCTACGTTTCGCCCCCTTTGCGCGTAGCCTCTCGACCGCGTCGAAGGCCCGTCACGCCAGTAGATTCACTGCTCGCCCCTCCCGATTGCGCCCTCGCTCTCGTTGTATTTCTAGCTCCTCCGGATCCTGCCCTGCTTGTTGTCTGCCTCCCTCCTGAGCCTGCCGAACCGTTACGTGGCCTAGATTGGGTTCCGTTCGAGGACGACGCGCCGTTGTTGATGGGAGCCTCTGCTGGTTGGGTCGACCTCGATCCATTCCTCGATCTTGTCGATCGTCTTCTCGCCACTGGTGCTGGGGCAGCCTCAACATTTGCTTGCACTGATTGAATGGACCCAGTCCGCAGCCTCGAGGACCGCCTTGGAGCAGGGACAGTCACCGCGGCTGCGGCCGGCATAGCCGATTCTGGTGCCACCCCAGGTTGTGAGCTGGACATCGATCCAGTGTAGGGTCGCTTCGAAGCCGGAGGTGCTTGCTCTCCATCAACGTCCATTTCGGCTGCACCTGCATCTCGTTCGTCTCGGGTACGCTTCAGGGCCCCCGACGACTCAGCTTGCTTGCTGGAATGGGGAGATGGTACAAATAGAGGGGCGGGGGCGGGGGCAGGTGGCGGCAGAGGGGGACTCGAGGACGTCGCTTCCTCCTTTTTCAGGGCTTCAATTGAAGTATCGAATAAATTGATAAAAGTTGCATAATCCTTCTTTGAGCGAGGTAGCATCGCATCGATCGTGGTCGGCATCGTGTTCCTGTTCTCGAGTTTCCAGTAGTACTTTTCGCGCAAAAATGCCCGAAGGGCATCAAACAACGTCTGGAAGATGGGTCCAAAGGTGTCGATAACCTCGTTGTGATCGTGCTCGATGGGCTCGCTGGTGAGGAACTCTTTCTTAGACAAGTACCCTAACTTGATGTTCTCGCTCTCCCACTCTTTGAGAGGTGGGTCCTTGAGTAGATTCGCATCGACGTCGTAGCGCATGCAGACCCAGCAGAAGACATAGAAGAAGGATTCGAGATCGTCTAGGTAGTCATGAGCGAGAATCCGCTTCTTGCCCCTGTCTTTTTCGCTGTTGAGGACGAATAGAGATTGAAAGGCCCGTGTGCCCTGGAAATATCAGAATAGAACTATCAGGCACATTTCCATAAAAGATGGAGGAAAAACGTACCGTTCGAAAATCGACTAGAGCCATGGTCAGCTCGCGCTCCCAGAATACGGCCATATCCAGGTCGATGACAACACCCTTCCACCCTTCTTCTGCGCCGTCCGCGCCAATAAGAACGTTGTTGACACTGATGTCTCGGTGGATAACATTCATCTCCCACATACGCTGGTGGCCTGTATTGCTGACATTAATGATGTGCCTATGATGATAAGAATTTTCGCATACCTGCCACGGCATCACGGAATGCACATAGAAGCTGCATCCGACTTGAAAACTTATGTATGGGATTGCCGTACGCCTGGAGGATAATGCGACGAAACAGGCGATTGGCCATGCCATCAGGAAAGCCTTGTCCTTCCATGCCTCTCAGTTTCGCAATTGACAGGTTCTCCGGCTCGAAGGCGATCATCTGACCGACACCAGGAAGACCCTCGACTTTCTGCAGCAGGTTGTGTTCAGGATCCCGGCCTTTAGCCTGCCAGGAATCCTTGACGATCCGCATGATGCCATTGGCTTGGACAAGCCAACAAAGCGTGCCGCGACCGCGAATCGTCCGTCGCTGAAAGAAAGGTTTTGAGTTGATGATCTCGTACTCGACGCGTTCCCCGTTTTCGTTGAGGGTGGTGATGTATCGTTTGTCTTCCTTCCAATAGACGTTGGTATCGAACCCGAGGGTGGCGCAGTCGGGAGAAGAGACGAGGAGGATGAGGTAAATGAAATCCTTTGGCTTCTTGTGAATGTCGAACGACTGGGTACGTAAGACCCCGTTGCGATCGAACTGCAGCAAGAACACGCGTTCCTCGGTGATGACAAGGGAGTATACATAATGACGGTTCCCCTGCTGAATGAAACATTGTCTATGGGGAGACTAAGGCATTAGAAGAAGAAAACGTATTGGGAGTGTGCCACATACCGAGCATACACCGCAACCTGCGTTACAACACCTTCGGTCAAGTTTTTCTCGGTCTTGACCTCGCAAGGCGATGCGCAGTAGCGGTAGTTGGCCTTCTCCTTGCGTTTTAGCTGAAGATTCTCGGCATGGAAATTGGTGTCTGAGCCGTAGAAGAAGAGGTCAGGAGACGTCTTGAGTGTGGAGTCTGCCAAGCAGTCTTCGATATGCTTGATCTGGATGTTGAACGTGGGGATGACCTCGCGTTGCTCGAGCTTAAACGTTGCGACGACTTGTTCGAAGATGTTGCATAGAGGGTCGTAGAGATCTTTCTCGAGCTGTGTCTCGGGGTTGAGGCCGTCCCAACGCTTGGTCTCGTGGTTGTAAAGACCAGAGTCCCGGACGAACCGACCGATCGAGGCATCGGATTGTTTCACCCTCGTCTTCACGACTTGTTTGAAGAAGTCTTCGTCTGCTCGTTGTGTGGTGCCAAATAGTTCTGCCTCGAGAATGGGGGTCATTACTGCGACGTTTGAGAAGCCTTCCTCGGGGCCGTCACAGTGCTTCTTGAACGGTGTTTCGAACGAGTCTTTAGTGGGAGCGTCTGGGTTCTCGCTCTTCGGAGCCGGTGACGCGGGAGGGGTTTGTGCAGGAGAGCCGGATAGGAATTGGTCTGCGAGCGAGGCAGAGGCTTGAGAGAGTCGAATCGACTCGGAGTGGCTATTTAGAAGCGCTGTCCTGAGATAGTTAATGCTCATGTTAGTGGATGGTGAAAGAAAAGAAACGAGCACTCACGCGTCGCAAATTTATATTGAACTGTGGCCCGACAGAGTCACAAATTCTGGGTGGATGTGGTCGATGTTCAAGCGCGGTGGCCTCGCTTAGCGGACCGCGAGATGGCAGAGGCATGCTTGGCGGTCAGAAT